AGTATTTATCTTACTTGGCAAAAGGGATTTTGTAGATATGATTAAGGTTAAGAGCCTGAAATAGGGAGATTATCCTGTATGATCTGGGTGGGTCCAATCTACCCACATGAGTCCTTAAAAGTGGAAGAGGGAGCTAGAAGACTGGGTCAGAGAAATGAGACAGAAGAAGGAGCAAGTTGAAGCCTGAGAAAGACCTGACCCACCATTTCTGGCTCTGAAGGTGGAGGAAGGGGCCACGGGCCAAGGAATGTGGTGGCCGCTAGAAGCTAGGGATGGTAACAGCCATCTCAGTTCTACAACCTCAAGGAAGTGAATTCTGCCAACAACCTGAATGAGCAAGGAAACAGATCTTCCTCTAGAGCCTCCAGACAAGAACACAACTCTGCTGACACCTTGATTTTAGCCTATGAAATCCAGGTCAGACTTCTGCCCGAGTGAGCTATAGGATAATACTTTTGTGTTGTTTAAGTCACTAAGGTTTTGGTCATTTGTTATGGCAGCCATAGAAAACCAATGCACATCCAGATGTGCATCAGCAGAGAACCAGCAAAATACACGAGCCCTGGCACATGCACACAAGAGAAGACTATGCAACTGTGAAAAGGAGCGAGGAAGACCTCCACACACGGCGCACAGTGATCTTCAGGATGTGCTGTTAATTGAAGAAAGCAAGGTGCACAAGCTACGCTCTGAGTGAGAAGAGGGGACACAAATATGTATATTTGCTTATGCGGCAAAAAACAAGAAAGGATAAACAAAAAACCTAACATGGGGCTTTTCGGGGGGAGAGGCAACAGAGTAAAGGGAGAAGATGAACAAGAACTTCTCTGAATATATCTTTTTTAAAAAAAGTTTAAAAGTAGTTTTGACTTTGAGAAATGCAAATGAGTTATATGCTCAAAAATAAATTAAATTTAAAATATTTTAACAATTTTTTAAAAAGTAAAATGATTTTTAAAGAAAGCAATCACTAAAAATTGAAGCAAAAGAACAAAACAAAACCCCTGAAATGAATGAATCTAATTTTGTGTTAAGTTGGTGATAGAACCACACAGAGAAAGGAACTATAAGACTTGAGAATTCCGTATTTTGACTGTACATCCATAGAGTAATACAGTCTAAGGACAAATACTTAAATTGCATTCAGTAGTCTTATTGTTAGGAGTACCATTGAAATTACGATTTGGAAACTCTTTATGTAATAGTAGGAGAAAGAAAATAAGTGATTATGTTAATATTTGTATAAAACACAATTTTAATGTAAAAAATTTACATATATTTAAATATAAATTCAAAGTTAAGTAATCTTAAATTTGAATTGGAAATATCAGTACGAACTCATGATGTTTCAAAAATCATGTATTTCCTTTCTCTGTCCGCTGGAAAGGTCTAGAAGCAACAACCAGCCAGTAGCAATGAGCACCCCTTCCCCCATCCTTAGTGCCCAGATTATGGTCTTTAAATACCATTTGACACTAAACGAAACCAGGTAGGAATGACTCAATTTCAGCTTGAGCTTGGGGCAGGAACGAAAAAGATGATTCTAGGAGATTCTGTTGTATCCGAAAGCAAGAAAATCATAAAAGATTAGTATCCTTGTGTCAAAACACCTAGAACGTGAAGGGTTGCCCACTGGCCAAGATGGGTCAATTTTAAGTTCAAAAAGAATAATGACTGCAGGTGATGGAAATGCACTACATATATAAAAAGCCTATGCTTTCATATAGATACTGGGGAAAAGAGATAGCAGGGCAAAAAAACAAAGAAAAATCTGCTTAACATTGCGAGTAACTAGAGGACTCACTCCTTAATCTGAAATTGGGAATTAAAGGAAAAAGGACTCAGCATTTCAGCATTTATCCTGTCTTCCTGTGTTACGGGTAACTTAATTGCCTGAGGGAGGAGGGGAAGTACTTCTTTCCAGACTTCCAGCCACTAAATGAGGAAGGATTGATAAAGAATTGTCATTTTAAATATACAAAGAAAATACATAATTCAGGCAAAGATAGAGAACATTACATATGAAGCTGATGGGGAAGTGACCACGTAGGGATCATGCTGTGATCCATCCGAGCATCCCCGAGTGGGACAGTTGGACATTGTGTGTCCTGATGTGCTGCAGTATGAGGTACACAGCACCACTTGGGAACTACTCTCAACAGCAACAAAAGAGTGGAAATGGAATCTAATCAAGGTTTTGGAATGAACTTTCAGTTTACAGGAAAGATGGGGGCAGAGGCACAAGGGAACTGACACCATAGGAAGTAAAGGGTACATCTCCAGTGCAGGACATTCATGCAAGTGACTGGGATTTGTCACCAAGGCAATGACATGGGTAACAGAATGGGGCTGTAGATGAAAAGAGACTTAATCTATGACAGAAGGCAGACGAGTGGTTGCTGGAGACGGGGGGGTGGTTTGGGAAGAATTACAAGGGGCACAGGGAGACTTGTAGGGGTGATGGGTTTGCTCATTATCTTGATTGTAGCGAGGGTTTCACAGGTACACATACATGTATATCTAGGTCGAAATTTACCAAATCGTACACTCTAAAAATATCAAGTTTATTATATGCCAATTATTCCTTAATAAAGCTTTTAAAAATTGTTTTTAATGATTTAAGGGCTACGACAACCAAATACATAGTGTGAACTTTGTGTGGATTCTGTTTTCATCAAAACCATAGTAAAAAGACATTTTCGGAGAATGTGGGGAAATTTGAAGATGGACTGATTTTTAGATGATATTAAGAAATTTTTTATTAATTTTATCAGGTGTGATATGGCCTTATAATTATGAGAGAAAGTATCCACATTTTAAGGTAAATATGGTAAAGTTTGTAGTGAAGGAAGACATACAGACAAGTATACAAGACATAAGTACATGCACAAGATGAACACATGTAAGTAACCCAGATCCAGACCAAGAAACAACATCCCTGGCATTCCAGAGCCTTCTGGTCACTCTCTCCCCCAGTGGTAACCACAAGACCCAAGCGGAACCAGTACTCTGACACCAGAGATTATTCTTTCTCATTCTGGAACTTTATATAAATGGAATCATAGGGTGTATACTCAAATTATGAATTTAGCTTCTTTTGCTCAACATTCTGTTTGTGAAATCATCCATATTGTTGTGTGCACATACATTTTAGAGGTGTATGCTGAATATTTGGGATAAAAATGACATGGCGTCTGAGATATGCTTTAAAACACTTCAGCAACAATGAAAAGTGAGTCTAGATGAGTCTAGATAATAGAATAGACGAATCTAGGTAATGGGTATGTGGGAGTTCATTATATTATTCTCTTTCCTTTTGGTATGTTTAAAATCTTTTATATGAAAAATATAAAGACATAGGTTGTGGGACAGTGGCATAGAGCACATCTTCTGTGTATTTACCACCTCATTTCCTCTTCTTGGGCAAACTCAAAGACACTTCCTAGAGTCCCTTGTTAAGTGGGCGCCATGTGACTAAGTTCTGGTAAATGGAATATAGACGGAAGTTGTGTAGTTCACTCCCAAGTCTGGCTCTGGAGGCACAAAATCAAGCTTTAGAAGGGTGAGCTGCAGAGATGCTGGCATTTCTGTGTTACTGCAGCACAGACTGGCCTAATACCCATCAAAAGCCTGCAGAGCTTGCCTCCTGGGCATTCATGGTGCTCAGCTATAACGTAATCTAGTGACACTCAGGGCTACATCCGATTCTTCTGAATTCCTCTGAGTGCTTGCCCAGATACTTGGGACAGACTCTGAGAGGCTAGAATTGGATTTCACAAGATATCACAATTTTTCTCTTACACGTTCTTCTGTGTGGTTTAAAGTTTACTTTCATCATTTTGTTTTTTATTTACTGGAGATTTATTTTTTCAGTGTGACATGAGGTAGGGATATACTGTTATTTTTTCTAAGGAAATAATTGTTCCAGCCCCAATGATTGATCAGTCCCAGCTAGCTGTTTCGCCCTTTCAGAATCCTGCATAGGTTTCCAGGAGCAGTTGTTTAATGAAAGTTTTAAAGGCGTATATGGAATTTGTTCCCTGATTTACGGCCAATTTCCAAGAGTGAATTGTCTCACAATAGAGTACAACTACAGTCATGAAAATCACTAGGATTTTACTACAGACAATAACTATTTTGAAACTTTACTGCTTCCATAATGTGGCTCTTCATCTTTTTCCTCTGCTCTTATTAGAACACGGAACTGTGGCTTGTGTGGCATCTACCAATGACAGTGTAACCCTGTTTCTGACTCACAAGCCCTCCAAGGACTTACTGTCACACTTTAATCAGATCCAGAGTCCTTTCTAAGGCCTATCCTCTCAGATCCTGTGTGATCTGCCCCCGGGGCTCTCTCCCACACTCCCTTTCCCCAGCCATCCGGGCCTCCTTGATGGTCCTCAAATGTAATGTGCATGTTCCTTTTCCAGCAACTTGAAGTTCTTTTTCCCAAGAGAGAACTTTTCTCCTTTACAGCAGAAACTTTGTCAGTTTTTGTTTACTGCTGTATCCCTCATGCCTAGAATAGTGCCTGGAAATAAGCACGTTCTATAAATATTGGTGAATGAAGGTGTATTTGTTCATTCATATGACAGATAAGTTGTACCAAACAATTAATCCTATTAGTATGTTTGGTAGCTAATTATGGTAAAGAATTAAAAAAAAATCTCAATCAACCATGCTATCAAATTTTGGGTACCTATTTTGCACCACAACTTGAATTTTAACCCCTATTATCACTTCTTCTATCAACCAATAAGACTCCAGCCTAATACTTTGTTTTCCTGGATCTTTCCACATCCTGTCCCCAGCATACCAGTTGTCTCCAGTCTCTGGTTCTCCTCCTCCAAATATGACCCCCTCCCAAACCACCCCTGAGTCAGCTCCCGTTATTAATTAATCATTCTGCAAAGGCATCAATCAACTGACGATACTGGGACTGGCAGGTCCCAGTATCACTCTTTGGAAACTCCAACTCTCAGCTTTCATGAGACACTTACCTGCCCCTCTACGATCCACCTGGAGATTGACGTCTTCCCGTCGTAGCCCGGTCGGAACTGAAGGGTGGCTGAGCGAGGGCTGATGTTGGAAATGACCAGATTGGACGGGGCACCAGGAAGTTCTAGAGATAAATGAGAGAGCAAAGGTGGAGACTTAAATTCTGTCACAGCTTGGGAAATGTATCAAACATGTCAGCAAATAAACAATTTCAAAATGCCTTTACACCAAAATAGGATTTGTTTTCAGAACCATGAATGTGAGAAGCAGGGCTTCCCCAGGAACATGACCTCAGCATGATTCTGACTTTAACAGGGTCACCCGTTAGGCTCCAAGCCATCTGAAGCGGTATCGGGAGACATATTGATGACGCCGCCTAGATGATAAACTCTGAAAGTCAGATCATGTCTTCTTAATCTCCATACACAGTAGAAAATTAATAGACACTTGTTGAATGGAGAAAGGATGAATGAATATAATTCTTCAAAGTTCCAAAAAGAACACAAAGAACTGAGTGTCCATCTTCTCTCTGATAATGACCATTATGCCTTGGAAAGCAGGATGGGGAGGGGATGGAAGAGTGCACGTGCGCATGCATCTAGGCAGCATGACATGGGTAAGTGTGCAGGTCCTGAGCCTTAGGCTTCTTGGGTCTGGTTTCTAAGACAACCACATTCAGGTGAAAGTGCAGAACTCTCCCACTCTGCCTGTGTTCAGTTGCTCTGGCAACAACATGAGGAGAAGGTGGGTTCTGCACGAGCCCCATCATCTGAGGTTACCTGTGGCCTGAGTCTACTTCTCAAATAGAGGCCTTTTATTAGGCTTCTCCCCCAAAGAGCCTGTCCCACTCAGAAATGAAATACTGTGAATCCAAAATGAAGCTCTTATGTTATTGTGCAATGCAAAATACTCTAGAGAAAGATATGGGATAAAATGAAGGAAAGAAAGATGCAATGCAAGTAACAGAAAAGGCTTTCAGACTGCACTGCTTCTGAGGCAAGATTTCCTAATTCGTCATCACTTGGGGTATTTAAAACCAGGTCTTGCCCAGGGACAATAAAACCACTTTGGTGATCAATTCAGTATTGGCACAGGCAGGGTCTCTAGGGTCTCAAGGGTCCTTTCCACATCTAGTTTAATGAATTTGAAGTGGAAAATATTTCAATCAAAAGACAAGTGACTCTTTCTTTTATATTTCTCAGCTCTCTGGATTCTTAAAATGGTTCTTCAGTCATTAATGGATGTAAACTTCAAGCACAGCAAACAGAATACAGCCCCACAAGTGGTCATCATCACATAATTTTGCTTCTTGCCAATACTTAGAGCACTCAAGGATGTCTTAGGATCAATGTCCAGCTACAGGTGACCTGACCTGTAAATGAAGCAACAGTACCTCCATCCTTCCTTTCACTTGGTTGTCAGAGCTTTATTCAGTACAGCTGTGCCCATCACCCCTCTCAGTTTCCACTTTGCAGTTCTGGTGTAGGGCCTGCCCGTCACAGTCAGGCTGCAGGCAGATGCCTTCTGGAGGTCAGTGAGCCCGTTTCCCTGCCCCAGTGGATAGTGTCCAAACCATCGCAGGGAAGAACCTGCTCACACACATGGACATGCTCCCAATGTTATCCTCAGTGGCTGTATGTAAGCCATTTCTAACAAATAAATAACATGCCATCATCATCTTCACTAGTTATTAAATTAGTGACAATATTTTAAATATGTGCTATGGGAACTGGCTATTTATGTAGACTAAAGGAATCTTCCTCTAAGCCAAAGACTTCCTTCTTAAAAGAATATTTATTTTGTAAATGCCTATAAAAAAAATACCAGATTGCCTCAAGGTGTGGTCGTCGCCCAGCCGCATCAGCACCACCTGAGAGCTTATTCTAGAGGCAAATTCTCCAACATCACCCCAGACCCACAAATTAGACACTCGGGAGCAGGCCCAGCAATCTGTTTCTAAAGAAGCCCCAGTGACTCTGAAGCATGTGACAGTGTTAGAGCCACTGCCTTAGGGAGAGGACAACGCCAACCGTCTATGGGTGGACAGAAAGATTTGCTTTGGGACGCTGCTGGGCTCAAGGCTCCCCTGCTGGCAGGGCAGGTAGCTAATGGCTTCTAGAAAGTACCCTCTGGGGTCACAGTGCTCAGAGGAGAGGAAGCATCTTCGTCCCCTTTCTCTGCCACCACATATAAAGTGGACCAGTGTATCTCATTAACCATAGTCCCTGTGAGGAGAGGTAAGGAAGGGTGAACATGTTTATTCCGAGGGGATTCCGTTTTTACTGCATGCATTTTATTTGTTTTGTGTTCTCTTCCGATCATGTGTGTCACCCTTCCAAGAAAACAATCAGGTTATGAAAAGTGAACTGGATGTGGGGGTACCATAGGGGATACATGCTGGTTTCAACGGGATCTTTCAGCGCCTCACGAATGAGACTGTCAGGCTTTTCTCAAAGACCAAAATAAGGCAAATCGACATCTTTTAAATAGCAAGAGACTGATGGCTTTAATTACTGAATTGAACTGATAGTCCCACAATATTTTCTCACATTCACATGGATTTGTGAATTCCTTGGAAAAGCACTTTCATTTTAAACACAAACTTTAAAACTGGAGGGAAAAAGTTGAACAGCAGTTTTCCAAAGCTGACACAAGCGTGCTGAATGTTTGGGAAGATACTCTGAATTTCAGAAGGACACGAGAGCAGGGATAACCCATGCCCACACCAAGGAGCAAATTCAATCACAGCAGTTTGCTTTGCACCAATCCTCTCTCCTAGAGCTCACTTAAATTTTTCTCTCTGTCTCTTTACTTCTCCTTCCCACCTTGTCTACTGCTTTTTCTTATCTAACCCAGATTTTCGTTGTTTTGTTGAGTGAATAAAGTTTTATGCTTCCTATTCTTAATTTTAATATCAATATTTCCTATTTCTCTCTCTCAAATAAAGCTGGCATTTTCCTTCTGCGCAGTCCTTGATTTGTGGTTTCCCTGGAGGGCGGGACCTCAGTCCCAGCTCCCTCTTTGTGGAATCCAGATCTCTCCCCCCGTCTCCATAAGCGCATTCTCACCAATCCTCACCCCACCCCGACAGAAGAAATGTTAAGCCAGGCTCAGAAGACACTGGAAAACAAGACTGACATTGGGTCATCATCCACTTACCACCTGACCATCTTAGCTGGAAGCTGACACCCCTCTTTTCAAGGTCCCCAGCGGCTTCTGCACAAAAATGCCCAGTGATGCCGAGCGTGAGAAATCCCTAAGGGAAATGCATTAGCAGGGAGACCGAAGCACGATTTTACTGACCTGGGGGCACTCCAGAAGAAATGGTGGATGATGTCGCCAGGCCAGCCCCTACTGCAGTGATGGCAGCCACCTCGATGGTGTAGGTGGTGAGAGAGGACAATCCTTTGATTTTATACTCATGCGTTGTGCTGTTCAGAGTGTGTGTGAGCCGCGAGTCATTCTTACCATACACCTCCCAGGAAATCTGATAGCCTGGAAAGCGATAACACAGTTAATTCGGGGTCTCCTGAGAGCAGAGGGCAGAGGCTGGGTGCCATGCTGTTATCTTTGCAGATTTGAAACAACAACAGAAAGCTCGCCAGATCTGTAGAAGTCTGATGAGAAGCCATTTCCCTACCGAAATGAAACCCAGAGTCGGGCCTCCTTCCTCTGTGCACATGGAGAAATCTCTCCTGCACCACGTCTCAGTCCACAGGGCCCGTCTTCCTCATTACAGAGGGAGCTGCAGGGGGACAGGGCCTGGCTGATGTTTTGGTAACCTCAGTGCCTGGTGTGTGCACTGAAGAATGATGAGTGATGACTGCCAGCCTGCTGGCTTGATTTAACCTTCCCTTGTCAAATTATGGATGCGTTTCATCAATATTTCCCTTTTTATAAGCTGATATTTTCCTTATACAGTACCCTAAATCACTAGCTCGCTCCTGGGTTGCAAGTAATTTGTGGACACATTGCTACTTTTTCCTTTCTGAAATGACGGACAGAACACACTTTCATCGTGCAAAGTGCTCTGCTTTAAAAAGTTTCTCTTACCTCGAACGCATGAGTTTTGCTTCTAGCTCTGCCTCCCCTCTTTGCACCTCCTGTTTTCCTAGAGAAATCTGATTTCCCCTGTACTCTGTTCAGTCCATCGGGGCCTCATGATCACAATTTACTCCACCTCGGACTCCATCGTGATTTGGGGCTCAGAGAAAAAAGACCCAGCGAGCTCCTGAATCAGCCCCCTCAGAGGGGAGTTGATGAGATTAGAGAACGCTTAAGAGTGTCTTGTAAAGGGGGATGCAGTGATGGAAAGACCTCCTGGGCTCAAAGGCAAAGGGAAAATGCTGGCTCTTCCTTCTTTCCAGTCAATAAACTCGGGGCTGCTGCAGCACTAGGAGGCGTCTTAAAGTTCCTTCTGATTCTGATGAAAGCAATAAATATAGTTAGAAACTTGCACTTGCAGGTAAACAAGAATTTAGAGGAGAGCATCTTGGGACTCTATATTTTGGGGAAAAAAAAAAATTAATGTCAGAAGCCACTGTCTGTCTGCTGTCCCACAGCCCTCATACGGCTGGCGACTTCTGTGCCTGGCCCCGGGGCTCCCCGGCTGGGGCGGTGCAGACGGGATGTCCAGGGAGCAAAGGCAAGCGAGAGGCGGCCCTATCACTGGGGGCCTCAGCTCACATCACAACTCCCACATTACCTTAGCTGCTGACTGCTGGGGGATGGTTCCTGGTCTCTGGGTCTCTGCCCAGGCCCATGAGGACCAATGAACCCCTCTTTGTCTGAGAGATCCAACCTGCCTCTCAGGCCTTGTCTCTTTCTCTTCCCCCTGGGACTGGCACAGGCTGACCACTCACTGCTGCCCTTCTCCCACTCCCACCCCTGACTCTGGACCTTAGAATCTTCCTTCTCCTCATGACCCATCCTGATGTCTAGCCTCCCTCATTCTCAGTGGACCAGCACTAACATCACGATGCACTAAAATCAATCAGTCCTTTCCTTTTTGCTAATTCAGAATTTTGGAATTAACTGTACAATTAAAAAAAAAGAAAACCCTTCTGGGCAAAGAGTATTAATAACTTCATATACATGGAGAATATTTACAACGTCCCTGCAGTGTTCTGAGCACTTCGCGTACATGAATTCACTTAACCCTCACAACAAACCTCTGAAGCTGGAGCCATCATTACCCCCATTTTACAAAGGAGAAAACCAAGGACAGAGAGGTTTGTGAACTTGCTAGAAACTGGCAAGGGTTTCTAGGATTTTCCCAGGCTCCTCATGCCTCTGCCAGAGCCTCCTTCCACACCACATTCTCTCTGAAGACTTGATGCGTATGAGTAAACTTGAAACCATCCCTGACCATGGGAGGTTATGCCTGACAAATCTCTGAATAATTTGATACTCAGGGTCTTTCCTGGACGTACAGGAAGAGAAGGCTTTGTTTAATGTTACGACCTTGTCTATCAGATAATTTTATTTATTTAAAAGCTGTTCTTCATTAAAATTTACTAAAACACAGCATCTTGTTCATCATGGCAACCTGGAGCCCAAACATAGCAATTTCGGCATCTTTAGTAGGGCAGCATTGGTAGGATTTCTTAGCATCAAAATTGATAATTTGCTATGCTACGACTGTTATGGACAACAACAGAGCCTCATCTACTCAGGTGAGGCCCAAGGAAACACCAGCAGAAAGAAAGAGCTGGCCCAGATGCAGAGTAAAAGACGACATGCGATGCTCGCCGCACACAGATGGACAGAGCTGAGGGCATGTGGTGGGCAAAGAGGCCCTCTGATTTGTGCACAACTTTTTGGGATTTGCATGGTAGCTCTGGCCAGTGAATGTTGCATCTGGCTCCAGTGTGAGAGAGGAGAGAGCCGCCTGGAGCCAGGAGCCGGGGCACCTTCAGTAGGCGTCCTACCTGCTCAGAATGGCTGCCTAACTGAGACTAATGACCCGAGGAGCTTCAGAAATAATTTTCTGTTGATCTGAAGTAAATTCTCTACAAGAGAGCAGTACATCCAATCACAAACTGTCTGTCTGCATCCTGGCCCTCATAAATCAGAGTTTACGGAGGGAGAGTGGAGGATGCTGAAATTCACAATGAGAAGGCGATGGACAATTTGCTTGAGTAGGCCTCTGACTGCCCGTTGCTCAGCTTCCATCTCATTCTGGGCCCAAATTAAAAGGGAGGCATGGGGGGTGCGCGCCATGCACCAGGGCTGATAAAGTATGGCTTTCCACAGGGCGTCTGGACCATAAAGTGGACCTGTGCAGAGGACCAAACCACTATGCCATCGCCTGCCCCGGCAGCTGCCTTTAACAGCAGCCGACAGCATTAACAGGGAGGCTCCAGAAGGACGGTGGTGCCATATCGACGTTTCCCGAGAGTGGCCATTGGAGGCCGGGTTTGCCCACAGACGCGGTTTTTCTTTTGCTCTGCTTGGTAAAATGCCTTCAGCATGACATAGACCGCGGTGCCTCCGGCGCGCTCCACTGGAAGCCACGTCAATTTGTGGGGTGCTGACCTGTCTGTCAGGGCAGAGCATCCAGTGCCAGGCAGAGCTTCTTTGAGGGCAGGGGTCACTGGGCAGGTGACTGGAGGGGGATCAGTGAGAACAAGGAAATAAGAGCCATCGGTCTCACCTCCAGGGAGGCCCTTTCCCTCCGCAGCCATCACCAGAGAGCTGCAGGCATTCACCGCAGCTTCCGGGACTGCAGGCACCTTTTATAGTGTGGTGGGAAAGGCAACGGCACAGGCCAGACAAAGTGAGACGGGGACAATGTGGCTGCGAAAGGAAAAAGCAGAGCGTCTGCCTGAAGCTCGGATCCAGCCCCTTGGTGTCGCAACTACGCAATAAGCTCCTGGCCTGGGATCAGCGCGGGCAGGCCGCTGGCTGAATCCGGTTCCGGGAAGCCAGAGCTTCGAAGTCCAAGTTCCACAATAAACAATAGGCTGTTGCTTGTAACTACATGTATCTGTTTAAATAAAATACGAAAATGAGTTCATTAAGCCCTATTAGCTGGTGAGAACAGATGATCATAAATTGGAAGTATTGGCAACCACTGCTTAGCCCTGAAATGTTGACTCCACTGAAATGATTAGACCCATGGGTTTCCTTCAAGATTTAAACCAGGACCGAACTGTGCGGTGTGTTCAGAAAGGACTGGGCAGGGGCTCCATGTGCAGATCTGTAAGAAGGGAAGTCCTCTGTGTCAAGACTGTCGACCGCGGAGTCCTAGCCAATTTCTGAAACATGGTCAATGGAATCGCAAAAGCCGGGCGGGCAGATGTGACTGATTTGCCTCTCGCCCACGCAGTTCCTCTTCTGAAATCAGCAGTAAGTACAGCTCTAATTCAGGCCACAGAACTGGTCCCCGAGGGGCTGGGCTGCAAACCTGTTCTTCAAAATGGTAGCTGCCGGCTAAGCTTCTGGAGTCCTTGTCTTATTTTCCCTGCCCTGACTTGTTTGTTTGTTCCTCCCTCTGTGGGGCTGAGAGCAACATTCAACTAAACTAGATGCCTGCTGTCTAGAACGTCCCTTCCCCCGCCCCAGACTTTGTGTAATTGTTTAACTGCAGTAGGGAGATCTTTTTATTTTACACATTCAGCACTTGCAATCCTATACTAAGAAGACTTCAGAATGCACAGCAGATCAGAGTTTTAACGTCTGATTTCCACAGTGACTTTTTCCCATTCCCGGAATTATAACATTATTTAAAGTGGGATTTCAAAACATCAGCTTCTTGAGGGCAGAATCAGATCCATAAATTTGCTTTATTTGAAAGTTAGAGTCAGAGGCGGCGTCAGATCAAAGGTGCCCTTTGTGATATGATCTGAGCACCCCAGTCTCTACGGTGGTGTTCTCCTCGAGTTCAGATAACTAGAGAGCATTTTGTAGATAAGAAGTGGGAGGGGTTGGCACCAGGAGGTTTTCTGAGTTATGGGAGAGAAGGGAGGAGTTCAGTGTAGGAACATAGTCCCCAGGCTGTGTGCTGGGGCACCCGGGACACTGAGGGAGCCCCCAGAAACAGCACAGGGGAAAAAAGATGCTGGGCGCCTCTCACTTGTGTCTGTGGGATACAGTGTGAACTACTAGCTTGAGTCGTTCACGACTTCAGGATCAGAGCGTGACTACTAGCTTGAGTCGTTCACGACTTCAGGATCAGAGCGTGCCACCTGTGGTCAGATACATTGTGCCTTTGCAAAGCTGAGTTTTTGGTGGTTGCTGAGATACGGAAACAAGTACTACATGAAAACCAAGGGGGAACAGGAAACTACGGTGGCGGGGTCCACTCTGATTCCATGTTCGCGAAGCTGGGCAGTGCCCAATGTTGCACACGTCCCATCAGGAACTAACTGGTTATTTAAGAAGGAAATACAAATATTTTTCCTTTCAATTAATAAAATTTTTTCAAACGGTTATTAAGTTGCTAGGATATAAATACTTACTAAATTCTTTGCACCTAACTACTTAATAAAGAGAACTGTTAGGTATTTCTTCAGTCTATGAGAGACCCCAAGAGAGCTGTGAATCCAGCAAGATCCAGAACCTCTGGGTTGGGGTTAGGAGTATGGTTTGAATCCCAGCTCCAGCACATTGATGATGTAGAGGTGAGAACAGGGACACCTAGATCCCTGTGTTGGCTCGGCCACCTGCTGGCTGTGTGACCGTGGGATATTTCTGCCCAAGGTCTCGGACAGGGGTTATAAGAAGGTCTCACATGATTGTTCAGAAATTAAATAAGATCCTGCAATGCTAAGGGTGCCTGAATGTGGCAAGTGCCAGGGTCACTATTGCTGCTGCTGTAGGACATGCAGTGGGGAGGAAGGGGCCCCTGAACCCTGCAGCCAGGGAGCAGGGACAGATGTCATTCCTGGTCTCATTCCATGATCGGATTCTCGGGTACACCAGCTAGCATAAGTATGCTTCATGGACTATTGGGCACGGGGGGGGATCACACAGGCTTCTGCGGGCGGCTGGACAATGTAACACCGACTGAGGGACGACACAGCTCAGGCTCCTAACAGACTCACTAGCAGGATGGAAACGACTCGTTCAGGAGCTGGGTCCTGCTGACACTCAGGGTCCAATTGCAAAAACACCCAGGTAAGAGCCCTTGACATGACATGAGATGCCCCCAGAATGCCTGCCATAGAATAACGTCCAGTAAACAGGTGACTGAGCTATAAGAGTATTAAGTGGCTGGCTTGGCATTTCAAGTAAAGCTTACTGAAGGGAAAGGGATGCCCACTGGTGGCCGAGCTGCTCTGAGCCGACCACTTCATACCACTTGCTTCAGTGAATCCTCCCCACAGCCCCACGAGGGGTCTTACAATGCCCAAGGGTGAAGAACGGAGGGTCTGAGAGGTAAGCTGAGGCTTTCAGAGTGACTAAAATAGTGGAACATGGCTTCCTCCCCAACTTCACCTGAGGCCAAAGCCTGGGCTGCTGTTACCAAACCTAGAATCTTTTTTTCCAAACCAAGATTTAAATTGTTTTAACCTGAAAGGTTTTTCAGAAACCTCTTCTATAAAATAAAATCATTAAAAATGCTACAAATGGTGAGCTGTTCCCAGAGACACCTGCAGCCATGAGAGGAGCGCTGGACTGTTCTGGGGTGGCGGTGCTTAGCCCTGCGCGGAGAGCTTCCACGCAGGCCCGCTCTCCCCGTCTTGCCTGCCTCTCCTCGTCCTTAGGTTCTCCCAGGAGGCACTGTGGGGAGGGTAAGGGGCATGGCACTCATTGTCAGGAGACCCAGACTTCGTCCTGGCCTTGCTGCTGTGGGGCCAAGGCCAAGACGCCGACGTGGAAGCGTCGGGTCATTCAGCATGTTAGCAGAGTGCCTGCACACAGTAGGCGTTCAGGGCACATATGCCAAATGAAGGAACGGTCACCTCACCTCTCTGCGCCTCAGCTTCTGCATCTGTAAAACGGTCATAATACCCATATTTACCTTCCCGTGTTGCTATGAGAATCGAGGGAGATAAACGCATGTGAGAGAATACATCATAAAATGATGAGTTCTCATTGATCAGAGGGACTCTAGAGGTTTGTTAAGATAACTCAAGGAGACTAAATCTCTGAACCCTGAGGTTGAGGCAGGGCTTCCGGGGACAGGGTCCTGGGTGTGGTGGCTGAGCCCTCTCTCTCTGCCACATGGCCAGTGGCCCTGTAGAAGGCCGCAGGCACATGTCCACTCTGTCAGCATTTGGTCTGAAGCCAGACCCACCTCTTGTGCTGGGGCAGACTTGTCTTTTCTTCTTCGGAAGGCAGGGATGCTTACCTGTAATGATGCCATTTTTCTCCAGGGGCTCCTGCCAGCTGACCTTGAGAGATGTGTCCAGAATCTCTGTGAAACTCAGATGTCCCACAGCTCCTGGTTCTAGCAATTAAAAATAAAGTCATTTGTTAACACAATAGCCCGATTCTCTTCTGGTCAGATTTGTGGGGAAAGTTCTAACTATGGAAGGGAAGTGGTGAGTCAGGGCCAGAGCCTGCAGGCCAGAAACCTGCAGGAAATGTCAGTGAAAACCCAGAAGCAATGAGGGAATTCGAGGTGTTAAAGGCATCCTGGCTATGGTCACATAAATTATTTTACTCAGCTTCATCCCAGCCACGCGGAGAACTGAAGAGCCCGGCAGCAGCCGATTCATACGCAACTCCTTCTCTTCTCCTTGATCTCAGCTAATGAGAACAATCAGGCTGGCTGGATCCTGAAGAGCAATTGCCTGCACCTGGCGTCCCTGGACATGCCTTTGCAGCCATGTGTCTGGCTCGTGTGGGGCCATAAGGACCTGTGCAGCCAGAGCAGGGCCAGTCCACACCCAGCCCCAGGATGATGCCTGCTGACCTGATCCAGAACTGCAGGCTGCAAACCCCCACTCACTCTCCCCAGGGACTCCACAGGGGCAGGGCAGTGGTGAGAAAGTTCCAGCAAAAATGCATGTTTTCCCAGGAGGTTCTTTGCATCATAGCCCTCCTCCTAACACAGTGGGGTGGTGTAGCAGAACTGTGGTTTAATGCTGCTGGAGTCAGAGTGAGGTGTGAAGCCTGGCTCCACTGCTTGCTGGCTGTGCAATTACTTAAACTCTCTAAGCCTTAGTTTGCTCATCTGTGAAACGGGGAAAATAAAAATAACTCACTCTGCACGGTCAATGTGAGAATAAAATTTAATAAAACAGGAAAGCAGTTAGCAGGTCTCTGGCACCACAGAAATGCTGACTGATGTTAGCTATTATTATTATTATTATTAGTTGTCAGTTATCATATCATCAAAATATAAAGTCATTTCTATTGTGGCTTTGAAAAGCACTCAAGAGAAAAGTCCTGAAAGGCCAGAGTTAACTCAGTCTTGGGCCTGAGTTAAACAGGCCCAAGATCCTGGGTTCTCAGAGTCAGAGGGACATTACAGATCCCATACTCTGATCTCTCTCCCACTTCAGAGTGGGAGAATTCATGGCCAGGCCCACGGGAGTGAAGCAACTGCCCGAGGACGCACAGTCACAGAGTTCGGTCCAGCGCCCTGATCTCCTGCTTGCCCCAGTGAGACAGCAGGACAGAGAAGGTGGCAACCGTGGGCGGGACGGCAGGGGCCTCCAGGGGGTTCTGAGCCCCCCTCATGCTCCAGCTCTCCTAGGTAGAGCTCTTAGTGCTCCTACAACAGGTCCCACCAGGGCCAGCTGCCCCGTGTGGTGGTTGGAGTGGGAAGAGGTGACCGGGTGATCTTCCCACAAGTGGCTGGTTCATCCCAGCTCTGTGTGGGGCGGGGGGAGCAGACGGAAAAGGAAATGCTTTAGAGGAGGCTGGAGTCTTAGGACAGAATGGGGAATAGGGCGAGGGGAAGGAAGAGAGACAGGGCTCCACTGGTTACTAAGCCAGGCCCTGTGCAGGCGCCTGGCAAACACCCGAGGCCGTCATTTCCACCAGAAAGGACGGCTGCTGTGCTCAGACTCGCTCTGCTCGCCTCTCTACGATGTCCCCCATGCCAACCCCTCTCAGTACCCAATTCAGGAGATACGCAGGGGACAAAGTCAGGGAGGAAGAAAGGGAGGTTCAAAGGCAGAGTCGGAGACAAAGGAGGAATAGAAGGAGGACAAAGAGGAGACAAGAACTTGATTTGTTTCTGCACATATCAGTTAAATACACACTCCATGCCAGGCAGGGAACACCAGATTCCTCCTGAAAGTGCTGGGCCACACGACTCCCCTGGTGAACCTCTGAATAATGCCACACTGAAATGTTTTTACTAATGACAAAATACAGGGGCCAGCCCAGTGGCGTAGTGATTGAGTTCCCGCACTCTGCTTTGGCGGCCCAGGGTTCGCAGGTTCGGATCCTGGGTGTGGACCTATGCACCACTTGTCAAGCCATATTGTGGCAGCGTCCCACATACAAAGTGGAGGAAGACTGGCACAGATGTTAGCTTAGGGACCACCTTCCTCAAGCAACAAGAGCAAGATTGGCAACAAATGTTAGCTCAGGGCTAACCTTCCTCACAAACAAAACAAAACAAAATAAAATAATAATAAAATGCAATTTTTTAGCTTAAAACGGGAGAGCATAAAGTCATGGGTGCTTGCTGCCCTGCCAGAGAGCCAAGTTGGGGGGATTCCCACAGATAAGCCTCACCCTGCTCTGGCTACTGTCGGCCTTGCTTGCACAGACAGCATATTTTTAAGGTGAATTCAATACCGAGCACTCAATTGGTACTTGGACAAAGCCCCTGAACACAACTTGTAATTTTTTAAATTACTCAGCAAATACAGTCACCTGGATGAAACTTTCAAAAGACTTTTTATGGATAAGCTCCAACTGACAAATTTCACTCTTCGCCTGTGGAAGATGGTGAAATAGAATGGCTGTCAAGACCATCTCATCCTCCTCCAATTTTGAGTTTCCAGAAAGACATTCTGACGGATTTTTGAACTGACTTGTTCTTTTTTCGATCAATAGACCAGCAAAGAAAGCTTTTTGCTCCTTCTATATTCTCAGTGTTTCTGCTTCCTAGATTCCTGCCCAAATGTGCTGTCTTCTAACTCTGCTGGAACCAGCTGGCAATGTCTAGGCTTAAAATTTATATTCTGTGTCCTCTTTGCTGCGCCCCCTCCCTGTCGCATAGGTTCTTATTTCACTGGAGCTTTGGAAAAGAAGGCCGGCTGGATGCAGAACTAACTACAGAGCCATCAGCTAGAGCGCAATGGAGACTATTGCTCCAGCACCTAAGGGTCCAAACTTCTCTCTTAAAGGCTACACCCCCAGAGCAGATTTCAACCCAACTATCAATCATTCACTGAGATAGTCCACACTTACAAAGATGCTTTTATCCTTCTAAATAGGATAAATGGGCTCCCCGCCTATCAAAAAACGGTGGTTCAATTAGAAAATTCTAAAAAGATGACATCACTCCCAGTTTTCTCAATTCCCAAGACACAAATCCCCAGTTTCTCTTTTTACTTACTAATGGTGGGTCTAACTGCATCTAACGTTCTATTTCCTTACTACAAAGCTTTATGGGATGTTTGCTCAGAGTTTTTGTCTGTCGGTTTAACTGGCAGCAATGGGGCTTTTTTAGTAAAGAATTCAACCAGCAGTCTTCTCTCTTTTATTTGAAGAAGTTCTCTTCTTTTGCCACTTTTTATTTTAAGAAATAGCCTCTAAAAAGTAAAATCTGATATCCAGTTGGACCTGGTTGCGGTTTGTGCTGAGGTGTTGCCCTTGCCTCTTCCTTCAGTAAATGAAATAGAGGAAAACATCCAAATAATGAAGAACTATAAGGGAGATGCTTGACGGATGCTCCTAGAATTCATTACCACCTCCCTTAGTTACCAGGGATCTCCCTTCCCACCTCATCTATGAACGTAAGGAATGAGGCTGTGTTTTCCTACAGATGAGTGGAGAATGTACCCTTCATCCCCGCAAGACTTCTTTTCCTCTTCCAGAGATCTAGCATGGGCCCTCTGCTTGCCTCACTCTGTACTCTCAGTCCCAAAAGACCAAGCTCCTGCCCAAACCAGCCTCCATGCACACGACTGTGCCACAGCCCAGCGAGCTTCTTCTTTCTGTTCAGCTCCCCCTACAATTTGCCCACCTAATTCCCAAAGTGACTTTATCTACTTAAGTGGCTTTAACTGCTAAGAACCTCATACCTCAGACATTCTGAGGTAGAACTGATTTCAAACATTTCCACCTGTGGTTAGACCACATACTCAATTATATTCCCTAACCTTTTCTTCGAAAATAAGATCACAATCGCTAATCGCTAGGACTCCCAAATCTACTCCTTCAGACGCTCTGCTGCCATCGGCCCCATCTACCAAGATGTCCCACAGGCACCACACACTAAGTGTCTCCCAACTAGACTTCGCGTCCTAACCCTAGGTCTGTATTCCACATTTTGGTTATTGGCATCACCATACCCAGTTACACAGCCCAAAGTGTGTTGAGTCACTCTAGAGAATTCCTTCTACCCATCTCCTAAATCTAATTAGTCCCCCAATTTTCTGTGACATGTCTCTAGAATCTCCCCTAGTGCTATCTCCACTGCCCGGGTCTAGGCTCTCATAACTTCTGGGCTTCTTCCCAGATTCCTTCATCTTTATTTCCAGTCCCTCATCACAAAAATCCCCAGAGCTTTTGAAGCCACAGACCTACTCAAATAACACCCCTAATGGGAATCCTTCTGTGGTTCCCCAGTGCCTAGACTGTCATTGTCCAAGGGCCTAAACTTAGCCATTGCGATTCGTCTGGATCGGTTTCCACCTCCCACCCCCATACACTATACTACAGACATGCTAAACACCTCATATTTTCTCACACACTCTTCTATTCTCTTTGCCTTTATGGATCCTATTTCTTCTACCTGGAATGTCCTCATCTATTCTCTGCATGACAAGTTCATCTATCAAGGTTGAGCTTAGTTGTCACCTCCTCTAAAAGACTTACCTGCCTCCCTCAGGTATTTTCTGTCACTCCTCACTGGGCTGCCACAGGTGCTTCTACAGACCTCCTCCCTCAGTGGCACTGACCTCAGTCATGTCCACTTCACATCTGATTAGGCCAGGAGCTCTAAAGGCAGAGGCTGTGCTTACTCATCTCTGCAATCCCTTCAACACCCAGCTGGCTATCTCCCACATAATAGGTATTCTATAAACATTTGAATGTACGTATGTATATGTGTTTGTATGTTGGACAGATGGACAAATGAATCAATCAATCTACTGTAATTATGATAGGCACAAGAGGTACAAGCTTGATGAGACAGCCATTTTTTTTTAAAAAAAGGAAAAGGCCAAACTTGATCAACTTTCTCCTTTAATCCTAAACTCCGATAAGGGGTATACAAACTTTATGATTGAAAAGCAGATTCCACAGCAGAACACACATTATTTTTTCAAGTACTCATAAAACATTCACCAAGATAGATTATATCCTGGGCCTTAAAACAAACCTTAATAAATTTAAAAGAACTGAAATTATACAAAGTGTGTTGTTTGACCATAATGTAATCAAGCTGGAAATGAATAGCAGAAAGACAACAGGAAAATCTCCAACATGTGGAAATTAAATAGCAGACTACTAAATAATCCTTGGGTCAAAGAAGAAGTTTCAGAGGAAATAAAAATACATAGAACTGAATGAAAATGAAACACAAAATATCAAAAAATGTGGCATGCAGCTAAAGCAGTATGGAGAGCACTAATTGCTTGCATTAGAAATGAAGACAGGCCTGAAATCAATAGTCTACATGCTTACCCAAAGAAATTACAAAAAGAAGAGCAAAATAAACTCAAAGCAAGCAGAAGGAAGAAAATAATAAGAGCAGAAATCAATGAAATTGAAAATAGGAAAACCATAGAGAAAGATCAATGAAATAGGAAGCTAGTTCTTTAAAAAAATAAATAAAATTGAAAAAACTTTAGGATGAATGACCAAAAAAAAAAAAAAATAGAAAAAGATCGCAAATATCAGGAATGAAATAGGGTATACGACTAAATATCCCACAGCCCTTAAAAAGATAAGGGAGTACCACCAACAACTTTACATTCACAAATTCAACAACTTAGAGGATTGATTCTTTGAAAATCACAAACTACCAAAACTCAACCAAGATGAAATAGACAACTCAATAGTGTTATAACCATTAAATAAATTCAATTTATAATTAAAAAGTTCCCCCAAAAGAAATCTCCAGACTGAGAGGATTTCACTGGAAAATTCTACCAAACACTTAAAGAAGAATTAACACCAAATTTTACACAATCTCTTTCAGAAAATAGAAGAGGATGAAACACTTCCAAACTTATTTTATGAGGTCAGTATTATCCTGATACCAAAACTAGACAAAGACAGAAAATGCAGGAAAGTGAAACTACACAGCACAATCTCTCAAGAACTTAGATGCAACACATCCTCCATAAAGTATTAGCAAATTGAATCCAATAACATAAAAAAGAATTATACACCATGGCCAAGTGGGATTATTCCAAGTATACAAGGTTGGTTCAACATTGGAAAATCAATCCACCATATCAATCATATCAATTAATATGAATTGATATTAAAAGCAATTGAAAAATTCAACATTTATTCATGATAAAAACTCTCAGCAAGTTAGTAACAGAGGGGAATTGCCTCAACTTGATAAAGAACAGCTATAGGAAATATCATACTCAACAGTAAAAGACTGAATGCTTTCCCTCTAAGATCAAGAACAAGGCAAGAATGTCTGCTCTCATCACTCTTATCCAACATAGTACTAGAAATTCTAGCCACTGCAATAAGGCAAGAAAAAGAAATAAACAGCATATAGATTAGAAAGGAAGAAAGGGAGGGAAGTGGGTATGGCTATAAAAGAAGGATCTTTGTGGTGTTGGAACTATTCAGTATCTTGATTGTGGTAGTAGATACACAAACCTACACATGTGACAAATTGTATAGAACTAAATACACACACACATGAGAACAAATAAAACTGGAGAAATCTAAATTGGATCAGTAGGTTGTATCAGTGTAAACATCCTGGTTGTGATATTATACTATACTTTTGCAAATGTTACCATTGGGGGAAACTGGGCAAATTGTACATGGGATCTCAGTATTATTTCTTACAACTGCATGTGAATCTATAATTATCTCAGTGGAAATTTCAGTTAAACAAAAAGCAGAGAGCAGATCAAAGGTAGTGTATGGGAATAACTTCCAGGATCAGTTAATAGTTGCAGAGTTACTTTTTACTGTATCTTTTCTATGGGAGGAAGGTCAGTGGTCTCGGAGGGTCAAGAAATTCATTTCTATTCTTCCTGTGTCACTAATTTGACACAACCTTAAGTCAATATCAGATGGTTACAGTAGGTTGTGAAGTGAAAGCCAGGCTGCTAAAGGTTATAGGGAGTGTCAGAGGTTAAGAGGTCAGAGTAATCAATTATACCAAAAGGAAATAAGGAGCTAACTGGGTGACTCAATGGGGCAGTGCAGTCAGGTGAGGGAGACCTGAGTATATTTGTGGGTTGAGAAAAGGTCTGACACTTCATTCTCTAAAGGAGGAGGGAAGATGAACAAGAATGAGAACAAGGGAAACTCTGAGATGGAAGGGGAAAATGAGGAAGCTCATCTTGGATGGCCTTGACCTCTATAAATGTCTTCTGCTAAGAGGCCGTGAAGTTGACAGCCTCAGGGAGCAGGACAGAGCAGAGCAGTGGCCTCTGCACCAAGTAGAGATAAACACAGAAGGCTGGAGCACATCCAGAGTCCAGCTGAGCTGGGAGAGGAGGAAGTTGGAGGAGAGACAAGTGGCAGCCCTTGGTGACTTTTTTTTAAAACTTATATTAGTTTTAATTCTCCTTATTAAGGGAGTACTTACTCATTGTAGAAATGAGAATATGCAGAAAAATAGAAAGAAAAATCTAAAAAATACCCATAATCATGCCACATAGAAATAATAACTGTCAAAATTGTGACATATTTCCTTCAATATCTTTTCTCAGCTCATATAGCTTTATACAAGTGCATTTTTCTAAAATTTGGATCTCATATAGTTTTGTATACTATTTTTTTCACTTAACAGTAGATCAGGATCATTTTTTCTCAAAATATTTTTAAATACCTACAAAATATTTACTTTATTGTCATTCCATAATTTTTCCCTCTTTGGAACATTTGAATGTTTTTCTTTTTTTTTTCAATTACTAATAATTGTACTGAACCTCCTCATATATAAATCTTTGTGCACATCTGCGATCATTTTCTCAGGATAGCTTCATTAGATAATGTTTTCCAGAAGCACCAGTTGGCCTGAGAGCAGAGAAGGAGCTGGTTTGAATTGACCAGAAGGAGATAATGGAAAGTCAAGGGCTTAAAGGGGCTCAGGTGAAATGCCCCTGGGGAGGGTCAGAGAACCACGGGCTGGGAGGCATTAGGAGGATTCAAGAAGAAAGTAAAGGGATTAGAAGTTGAAATCTGAGTGAAAAGAAGTTCAGCAAGACCAAAGTCTGACCATACAGCTGGAACTAGACTCTCTCTTGCCCTCAGAGTTTCTTCCTCTAGCCAGGCTTCCTTCCATATTCCACATACCACCTGCTGCCACACATTATTAATATTTCTCAATGACTTGTCTCCCCAGGGCATGCAGAATGCAAACACTCTGAGAATATGGGGTTTCCTAATGACCATCTCTGCTCTCATGCAGAGCTGGATATGACAGTGGTCCGAACCTCTTTGACAACTGACTTATGGCTGTTGATAAGACACATGGCAAAGGATTACTCACTGTCTTCATGAGTCCATATGAGCTGAGGCGCACTTGGAGGCCCGTCCCCTGGAGTGGTGAAACACAGGACCGAGGTGAAGTAAGCAGTAAACTTCTTCAAGTTGGTTATATACCCATGATGGACTCCATGGAAATCTGGAGCAATGGTGACTACAGTGCTGGCCTCAGGGACATCAGCTGGCCATGCTAGAAGCTGGGATGGAACAGGTTGAAAAAGAGATCCTTTTTAATTGCATATCTTCACTCTCAAGTCTGCATCAGAGTTTTATTTTACAATTACAATGTCTTCAAAGAAAGTAAAGTTGTAACTAAGAAACTTCATAAATCCTACATTTTATAGTCTCACTGAAAAATACTGAATTTAAAAGATATCTCACAGACTACTGAATACAAATATGTATATTTACATATTTTATACATGTCTATATAAGTAAAATATACTTTAACTCATACTGGAATAATAGACACTCCTAAAACCTTCACCTTCTCTTCACTTGAACACATTATAGAACATATGTATTTTTTAACAGTAAAGAATAAAGACAACACCATCTGTTATTCAATTGGATCAGTACAATGAAACATAAATACAGATATTTTTCCAGATAGACACCTACTCTGACTCAAAAAGAAGCCCCTGATTCAACAGGAACAATCTTAATTATTTATAATTTCTACCACTCTAGTTTTCTGAGAAGGATTTTTAGGAGATTGATTATAATTGTAAGGAAATATAGTATATACATATAGTTTTAATGTTTGGACAACATTATGTATGAGTGTGACTTTTAATTCCTTTGACACCAAACGTTTCCAGGGTTGATTAGGTCTAAAGTTGACCCCCTGCAGGACACAAAGTGTATTGATATACATCAAACCGACAACCAAGCCATGGAATGAACGCTCCAGTCTTGCCAATAAGACTTGACAGAAGAGTCAAGAAGGCAAAATTTTCTGGGGGAAAAGAAAAGATGGGGCAAATTTCTAGCTACGTATGCCTTTCTAGTGAAAAACAAGTGTTTCAGTAAGTTGAATCCAAATGGAAAAAAAAATGAACTGTATGTCTGAGGAAATAACTCTCTGAATTCGAAATTACCATGTATTCAAGCAAACTAGATAGAATCCCTTCTCTACAGAGATCTTCCCTGAGTTTACCTGTCATTGCAGAAGGTTAGCAAATATGCTGTAGGTAAAATTAAGATGGGCTCCCAGAAAAAGCTGAAAAGGTAAGGTAAATTATACTTTTGGAAATTTCATCCAAGTACATTTGTGAAGGTAACATATTCTGGTAACTAAGGATGGAGGGAAGTTGGATAGTGGGAATCTGTGTCTCTAATTCAGTTCAGGTAGGTACCCTGAATCAACTGGTCTCAGTTCTATAAACAGAACTTTCCCTAGAGTAGAGAAAGAGGAGGAATAAATGTCCCTACTCAATAGAAACATCATTCAATTGCAGCCAGTGCCCTTTGTGCTAAGTCTGTGTTCTGAGAGGGCTCCCCTCCAGGAAGAAGTGGTTTGTATAAATGCTGATTCCAATCAACTGAGATAGATCTCCCACTGATAATTTTGAAATGAATGGCCTTTCTCATAAGAAAATGCTCTGTTATGTGTGAACCCATCCTCTTGAAAACTAGTAATTTGAGTTTCTGAGCCAGTATAGCTGATGATAAGACCTTGGTGACCCCACCAAGGTCAACATGCTCTGTAACTTGATGCAATGGGTTCTTGATGAAATGAGAAGTGAGCAGCCTCTTCGTTGATCACAAGAGCATGACATACCATGATAGCCACTCAGAGACTCTAAACCAAGGCCGTGTACCTTGTATCCCTGGTTGATGCCATTGATAAACTGCTGAGGTGGAGGGTTCCACAGGAACTGAATTGTCGTGGAATTCACAGCTTCCGTCTGCACGTTCTGTGGGGGCGCAGTAGGCACTGTTCCAAGGCAGTAGTCAGAAGCAGCAAAACAAATGGCAGGAGGCACAGTAGGGAGAAGAGATGAAAAAGAAACTCTTAGCTGCCACTCACGATTCACCACAATTACAGCACTGAGAACAGAGAAGTGTGATGAATGTTTCTGGAAGCTAATAGTGGCATCACAAAGAAAAAGAATTGGGCTATTTCTCATTTTCTGTTGGAGAATTCTAAGGCATAGGCAGAAAAGTGGACCGGATCATCTCATTCCACGGGTGAGCCTTTCCTAGGGATCCTAAGATGGATAGCAAACAAAAGCTTTCTCTGATTTCTCTTTCAATTACCCAATATTTGAGATCAAGACAAGGTTTCATCTAGAAGTCTGCCTCCCCCATTGTACACTACTATGTTTCAAGCCAAATTACCTTTTACATGAAAAAAAATCATCCCCCTCCCATATGTATTGTTATTTATTCATTTGGAGACTAAATTTGCCTTTGTCACAGAGGCCACCATTTTTTAAATTTTCCATTGTTTCTTTCTTTCTTTTATTGAACAGTTTACATTGAACCCAATTATATACCTGCCAAATGGCCTGCCTTCAAAGAAGTCACATTCTAGGGGAGATACTCATGGAATTGAAACAGGCACATCACTCTTTGGACCACTAAACACAGAGGGCAGAGCAACCAACCCTCCCCTAGGAAAGTATGGAAGGCTTTAGATCTGGAGACACTTGGACTAGGTCTGGAAGAAAGCGTAAACCTTTGAAGAGAGAAAGGCCTTGAGAAAGGCATTCTCATCTGGGAAAATGGAGTGAGCAAAGGCATGGTATTATGAAAAACCTGGTGAATGGTGAGAAAATAGGGAGCATGGCTAGATATGGGTGTATGGGGCTGAGGAAGTGAATAGGTCACTTTGGGGATGGCCTCATATGCCAAATGCAGTGGTTGATAATACATATGGTAGGTAATGGGGCAGCAAATGGTTGTGAAAAAGGCAGTAATGTGACATGGCTAGCTTTTTAAAGATGGTAACCCAAGTGGCCTCTAAAGAGGGGACTAGCCCACTGGCTGTGCCACAAAACTTGCTGCAGGGTGCAAAAGAAGGTCCTGGTTCCTTAGGAGCTTGTTTCAAAAGTAAGGCGCAGAAGCCCAAAGGATCCTTCAGCTCAAGGTAAAGAAACAAAGACAAGAGTCTCCTGGCACAGAACACATGGGACAGAGCACGGTCCTGTTAAAAATTATACACCTTTCATTATTCTCTTTTTCTAAAGCTCATCTCATTAGGCAGAGATGAAAACAACATAAAGCTATCCACGCCCCTCAAGTCTACTCTTCCAAATCATCGTTTCTTTTCCCATTTACTCTCGACTCTGGCTGTGATATTCCCTGGTCCCTCCCTCCATAAGTCACTAAGAAAACTGTCCTACTTCTCACTCAGGATCCATCCAAAATTTTTGGATTAAAAACGGCCACAGGGATTGCTATGTCTAGGATGTAGAAAGTTGGAAAGAACATCACATCCACCTAAGAACAAGAAAAAGCTGAATAAACTACAAAATCATAACATTTCTGGAGCCCATAAGAAAGCTGAGGTCACAGGGCAACCATCTGAAATATAAGAAAAGATGGGCCTCTCTGAGGAGTAAGGATGTGAGTGCTGGCTCACCTATGACAGAGCAGGAGAGAAAGAGACAATAGACACCATACAACTGGGTAAGGAAAATTCAGCTAAAATTCTTAATGAATTGCTGAAGGCTGAATGTGGGCCAGCATGGGAGTACAGAATGTTTGCATGCTGCAGATACACAAGAAAGATACAATACATACGGAGATACAAAGACAAGAATTACAGCAGCCTTCTCATAAGAAACTATGTGAGCCAGAAGGTAATGGAGTGATATCTTTAAGTACTGGTAGAAAAAACTACTGTCCCAGAATCCTATATCTTGTGAAAACAGCTTTTACATATGAAGGCAAGATAAAGGCATTTTCAGAAAGACAAAAACTGAGAGAATTCGTTACTAGCAGACCTGAACTATAAAAAACGTTAAAGAAATATGATATCAGACAGACACCAAAACTTTAAATCTATGCAAAGAAATGATGATTTCCAGAAATGGTTAAACTGAAGGTAAATATATTGTGTTTTTTTCTTATTTTGACTCACTCCCAAAAATAATTGGCTGTTGAAAGCAAAAATAGTAGTAACTTATTGCGGGCTTATAACATATGCGAGAACAAAATACATGGCCACAATAGCACAAAAGGTGTAGTATATATTAAGATAAATTGTAATTAATTAATGATATACATTTTAAACTCCAGAGCAATCACTAAACAAGTTTGAAAAAGAGATATAAATAATGCAAGAGTGGAAAAAATAATGTAATTATTTACTAGGTAATAAAAATACCTAATTAATCCAAAAGCAGGCAGCCAAAAAGAATAGAAAAGGAAAAACTAAGAGAGGGAACAAATAGAAAACAATTAGCAGATGGTAGATTTTAATCCCATCATATCAATAATTATACTAAATGTAAGCAGTCTATACATATTAATAAAAGACAGATTGTCAGTTGGATAAAAAGCAAGACCCAACTGTATGGTATCTGAAAGAATCCCACTTTAAATATGAAGACATAAATAGCTTAAAAGTAAAAAGAATGAAAAAATATATACATGAAAATACTAATTAAAAGAAATCTAGAGCAGTCGTATTAATGTCAAACAAAGTAGACATCCTACCAGGGAATAAAACCAGTGATAAAGAGGGACATTACATAATGATGAAGTGGTCTAGTCACCAAGGAGACTCAGGAATCCTAAATGTGTATGCAACAGAGCTTCAAAATGCAAGGGGCAAAACAGATAAAACTGAAAGGAAAAATAGACAAATCTACTATTATATTTGGAGACTTTAATACTCCTTTCTCAAAATAAAAGTAAACAAAGAAAATCAGTAAGGATATACAAGACCTGAACAACACCATCAAATAGCTTGACATACATGATATTTACTTAAAAATCTACCCTACAACAGCAGACTACACATTCTTTACAAGTGTACATGGAACTGACATATCTGAGTCATATAACAAACCTAAACAAGTCAAAAATAATTGAAATCACAAAATGTATGTTTTATGACCCCAATAGAATTCAACTTGAAATTTGTAGAAAAGTATGTAGAAAATCCCTAAATATTTGGAAATTAAGCAAGATACTTCAAAATAACCCACGAGTCAAAGAGGAAGTCACATGGAAAATTAGAAAGCATTTTTAATTTAATGAAAATGAAAACACAATATATCAAAATTTGGGGATGCAGAAGTGTTACAGGGAAATTTATAGCATTTAAATGTTTATATTATAATCTAAGCTTTTACCTTAAGAATCTATAAGAGTAAATCAAACCAAAAACAAGTAGATGGAAGGAAATAGTAAAGAAAAGGAGCAGAAATCAGTGAAATGAAAATAAAAAAATAAGAGAAAATAAATGAAATCAAAAGCTGGTTCTTTTAAAAGATCAACAATCCTCTAGCCAAACTGATTAAGAATAAATGAGAAATCATAAATTACCAGTATCACCAATATTAGGGGGCATCTCTACAAATCCTACTGATATTAAAAGAATAAGATAATATTTTGAACATTGTTATGCTCATAAATTCAACAACTTAGATGAAATGGACAAACTCCTTAAAAGAAACACACTTCCAAAATCTACTCAAGAAGAAATAGATAACCTGAGTAGTCCTATAGCTATTAAATATTTGAATATGTAATTAAAACCTTCCAACAAAGAAAATTCTAAGCACATAGGTTCACTGGTGAATTTACCAAGCATTTGAATAAGAAATAAAAGCAATTCTAAAGCATTACCCTGACACCAAAATCAGAAAAAGATACTATGAGAAAAGAAAACTACCGACCAATATTCCTCATGGACACAGAGGCAAAAATCCTCAATAAAATATTAGAAAATCAAATTCAGCAATATATAAAAATCATAATTTATCCTGATCAAGTGGGGTTTATCTTACAAATGCAAGGCTGGTTCAACATTCCAATATCAATCAGGGTAATTCACCGTATCAACAGAATAGAGGAAAAAAAACCCATGTGATTATCTTAGTAGATTTAGGAAAGGCATTTGACAAAACTCGACATTCAATAGTGATTTTAAAAAAAACCCTCAAAGTAGGAATTGAAAGAAACTTACTGAACTTGCTAAAGGGCATCTATAAAACACCTATAACTAACATCTTACTTAAGATGAAAGACTGAATTGCTTTCTCCCTAAGATCAGGAACAAAGCAAAAGTGTCTTGCTCACCATTGCTATTCTGGAAGGGCAAGTCAGTGCAGCAATGCAAAAGAAAAGAAATAAAAGGCATACAGATTGAAAAGAAGAAAAAAAAAAAAAAACCTCTTTCTATTCACAGACAATATGATTCAACGTAGAAAATTCCTGAGTCTACAAACTAAATGCTCTTAGAACTGAGGTTAGCAAGATCACAGAATACAAGATCAAAAAACAAAAGTCAATTATGTTTCTCAACATGAGCAAGGAACAAATGGAAATTTAAATTTTAAAGTCAGTACCATTAAAATAGCAATTAAAACATGAAATAAATATAAATTTAACAAACCACGTGTTAAGATCTGTACGCTGAAAACTATAAAACACTGATGAAAGAAATGAAAGACCTAAGTAAATGGAGAGTCATATCATATTAATGGATTAGAAGACAACATAATAAAGATGTCAGTTCTCCCCAAACTAATGCATAGGTTGAGTGCAATCCCAATCAAATTCGCAGCTAGAATGGTTTAGAAATTGAAAGGTTAACTTTAAAATTTATAAGGAAAAGCAAAGGAATTAGAATAGCCAAACCAATTTTGAAAAAAGAAGAACAAAACTGGACAACCTTCACTACAGGATATGAAAACTAACTATAAATCCATAGTAATTAAAACAGAGAGTTATTGGAGAAAGGATGGACACATTGATCAA